ACTCAGTCACACATGGTGCAGCAGGTCCTTCAGCGCTTCCGCTTCACGTACTCCTCGCCTCAGCCCACTCCTCTGCCTACCGGTCACTCGCTCTCAGCTCTGCCTTCGGATGAGTCCGTAGAGCCGAGTGGCCCGTATCCAGAGCTTGTGGGCTGCCTCATGTACCTGATGACTTGCACTCGACCTGACCTTGCATACCCTCTTAGCATCCTAGCACGCTATGTCGCTCCTGGCCGTCACCGGAAGGAGCACATGGATGCCGCTAAGAGGGTGTTGCGCTACTTGTGCAGTACGTCGGGCATGGGGCTTGTGCTTGGAGGACGGCGCGACGTTGTCCTCACTGGACACTCAGACGCTTCTTGGGCTGACGACCAGGCTACTCAGCGGTCGTCTCAGGGTTACACCTTCAGCCTTGGCTCTGGCTCAGTTTCTTGGCGTTCTACACGCTCGTCTTCAGTTCTCAGCTCCAGTTGTGAGGCTGAGATCTACGCCACAGCCATGGCTGCCCAGGAGCTACGCTTGCTCACCTACCTGCTGACCGACCTGGGAGAGCGGCCTCGTTCTCCTCCAGTGCTGTACGTCGACAACAATGCCGCCCTTGCCTTGTGTCAGGAGCACAGACTGGAGCACAGAACGAAGCACATCGCTCTGCGCTACTTCCTTGCTCGAGAGCTGCAGCAGCGTGGTCAGCTTCGTCTTACCTACGTGGCCACTCGGGCCAACACTGCTGATGTGTTCACCAAGGCGCTTCAGCCTTGTGATCATCAGCGTTTCTGTACTGTTCTAGGCCTAGTGCCTACTGTCCCTCACTTGCTCACTTCTTGACTCTGCTTGTACTGTGATCTCTATATATATACCTGCATGCTTACACTTGCTAGGTTGTGATCACTGTACCTCTTATTATATTATCAAACTGCATGTGAACTGGTCTTGTGACCGCTTGGTTGTGCTCGGAATTTGTGTGGTATCCTTGAGATCCACCCTGAGCTTGTTTTGCTTTGCTTTGCCTTGACTGGTCTTGTGACCATCTGGTTGTCTCCCACTTTGCCTATGGGGGTGTGTCAAACATTGTATATGTTTGTGCTTTGTAGGCTGTAGTGGGTTTAGCCTTAGGGGGTACAATCTCTAGGGTTTCATACTTGTACTCCCAACTTTCCTAGTTCAATCATTCTCGTTCACTTCTAGTTTCTAACAGATACTGCGAAATCGTCCGCCACGGATGCGGGAACGACGAAGCGCTTTCGCGCAACTCCTGCTTGGCGTGCGAGACGCAATGACGAGCGCAGAAAGTGCATGTTGGCGGAAGATGAGGAGAAAAAAAAAAAAAAAAAAACACTACCGTATTACCCCGGATATAGGCGCATATGCGCTTATAATAAAATCGATTTTTTTAGGGGTGGCGCTTGTATTGAATAACGGCCATAAGCGCCGGCGCTTATATTATGGCAAAAATGAAATTGTTATTTATAAGTATCATATCGAAGCCCGCAATAAGGCGAACACAATTGTGTAACGTGCGCGTGGCATCATGCATGAAATCTCGCCGAAAACTGCCGCGCTTCCATTTCCGACCGCACAAAGCCCGTCCAGGAGCAGCGCACCTGCCAGCGCTGACGTGAAAGTTGCCATGCGGCCCAATCAGGCTTTCATGCGCTGGCAGGCAGCTGCATTTCACCCGAACCATCGAGAAGGGGTTGGAATGCCCTGCCAGCGCAGCATGTTCGTGCCGCGATACCCTCCTCTCCGGGTTCAGACAGGGGGTACCCGTCTCTCCCCGACGAGGACCCCGAGGCGCTAACCAGAAGGGGTCCCTTTGAATCCCTCATTTGTGCTCCTTTTCTTTCAGTTTCTCGTTCCGTTTCTTGGTCACTCTCGCCATGCTGCGGAAGCCATGGCGGAATTCAGCGGCACACACTTCTTGTTCAAGAAAAAACCAGCGCGAAGGCCCGCGTTTAGAGTAGACGCTGACGGGTGGTACTCCCGTATCCCACCAGAACCACCAGAGCCACCACAGCCTCCTGCGCCTCCTGCGCCTCCTGCTCCTCCTTCGCCTCCAGCACCTCCTGCGCCTCCTGTTCCTCCTGTTCCTCCGTGTACGCAGGGTCCTGTGTCTCCGCAACACACTGGTGCTGAGCCCGTGCTCACGCTGCTGCTCCCATCGGCGTTTGACGAATACCTCTCCGAACCGGAGTCTAACAAGGCGCAAGATGAGTACGTGGAAGTGGAGTACGTGCCTGGAACACGTTGGGGACAGCCCGACGATTGCCCTTGGGACGAATCTGCAGTCGGCGCCGACGACGATGTTGCTGACGCTGAAGAAGCGAGCGGCGGTGACGGCGCCGAGGGTGGCACGGAGGCTTCTGCCGAGGGCGGCGCCGAGGGCGGCACCGCTGAGGATGTCTTTCCAGAAGGTGTTACGGGCGACGATGACGATGACGGCGTGGAGTACTGGTCACGCGACGGGCTACCCGAGAAACTGCCCATACCATCCTATCCTCCGACTAATCGCAAGCGACCCCACCCCTCTTCACAGAACCGTGATGCCCGCCCCCCCTCTCCCAGGCACAAGCTCACCGACCACAAGAGGCAAGGTTACACCGCCGCGGAGAAGTTGAAGTGGGTTGCTCTGCTTGATGTGGCGGTGTCGGTGCGCGCCTTGGCTCGCGAGAGCGGAATTCACCGCAAGTGCCTCACCAACTGGAAGCGGGCGTCTGAATTCCTCAAGGAAGTTCACTCCGCTCGGAAGCGCATGCACGGCCGCGGGCGAGAGTCGTGGTACCGGCCTATGGAGTTGAAGGTGTACGGGAAGCTACTCGAGTGGCGCCGCAAGGGAACCGCCGTGTCAGTCGGCCGCCTGCAGGAGTGGTCGCGGGAGTTCATGAAGCTTCTGTACCCGGACAAGAACTGGAAAGGAAGCCAGAGGTGGTCGGAGCGATTTCGGCGTCGATGGAATCTGAGCGTCCGCATGAAGACCCGGGTCGCCCAGAAAACCGCCGCGCGTAAGAATTACCCCGTGTACTTTGCCACGTTGTTTTTGTTTATTTGTACTAACACCCTCCGTCGTTGTCCGTCCTCTCTTCCACCGCCGTACAGATGTCGCTGAGCAGTGCAAGAGCTTCTGGCAGTTCGTGCGTGCCAAGCGTCGTGAGCGCGGCATCGACACCGCGTGGATCATCAACGCGGACCAGACCCCGCTCTGGCCGGAGATGCCCGCCACCACCACCGTGGAGGAAACGGGTGTTCGCTCAGTGCCTATCAGGAGCGCGGGGTATCAGAAGCAGCGAGTGACCGTGATGTTGGCGTGCACGGCGGGCGGATTGAAGCTGAAGCCGTGGGTTTTCTTCAAGCGCAAGACCTTGCCGAAGGGCGATTTCCCTGCCGGTAAGTCATGAGGTGCACTGCTCGTTAACTGCGTTCTGTTCTGAGTACGAATTCTAACCACCCGTGCGTGTTTCGTGCAGATGTGGTCGTCGCTTGCCACGAGAACGGGTGGATGGACTCCGCGGGCGTCATTCGCTGGCTTGAGGAGGGCGTCAAACCTTTCTTGAAGCCTAAGTTCGGCAGACACGCCAAGAGCTCGATGCTGGTGCTGGATTCTTACCGCGGTCACCTCACCGAGGGGGTGAAGGAGAAGCTCCGCGAGATGAACTGCGTGCCGGCAATCATCCCGTCGGGCTGTACGGCGGAGGTACAGCGCTCGATGTCTCCCTCAACAAGAGCTATATAAGGCGTCGGTCCGCCAGCAGTACCAGAGGTGGTTTGAGGCAGAGGGGCAAGAGCAGCTGACGGCAGCAGGTATGGCATGAGTACGGTATTGTTTTACCCCCCCCACCCCCCCCCCCCCCCCTCCCGAATTCTTTGTTGTTGCACTAACGGCTATCCACCGTTCTCCCGTAATGTTTCAGGGAACCTGAAGAAGCCTCCACCTGAGGTCGTCCTGAGGTGGATATCTCAGGCCTGGAACCTCATCAAGCGTGCCTTCCTCACCTGTGGCATCAGCAACCAGCTTGACGGCAGTGAGGACGGACTCGCCATGGCGCACAGGCGGAGCCAGCTGACAGCGGAAGTGGATGTCGACGACGATATCATCGATGATGGATTTTTTGGCAACAACTGCCAGGAGCCCGAATCTGACGAGGAGGAGTAGGAGGGGTACTGGATGATCCATGTTAGGTAGAAGTACCCCGGCTAAACTTGTTGTTTTGAGATCTTGCATAATCTAATGTTGTAGTTGCTACGAAAATTGACAATTTAGTGATTTCATTGTAATGCCTGTAGTAAAATTTTAAGGGTGGTGCTTATAATAAGGACAGAAATCACAGGGGGTGCGCTTATAATCGAGTTCCGGCCATAAGCGCCATGCTCCAGATAGAGGCGCCGGCGCCTATAATCGGACGGCGCCTATATCCGGGGTGATACGGTATATCTCTGAAGTAACGGCAAGAGGTAGCTGAATTTCTGAGCAATGTACAAATGATACGCTAATACAGTCAAGGGCGACGCGGGAATTCAGTAACGTTAAAGCCCGTCCATGGCTAGTTATTCTATGTATCATCCGCCGCGGATGCGGGAAAGATAAAGCGCTTTCGTGCATCCATATCTAATCAGCTTGGCGCGCACGACGCAAAGAGGAGCGCTGAAAGCACATGTCCATGGGAGACAGAACGAAGGGATAATAAGAGCAGCAGGAGACTGCTGGAAGATATCCAGGTTTCTGCATACGCCTAGCGAATCAAACGCAAATAGCACCTAAGGGCGACAAGACGAGGAGATTCAATAATTGTGGCACTAAGGAGATTTCACCATACCATTTCTGAAACACACTGATTTAATCAGATACTGACAATTTATTAAAACGCAACTATTACAAAGAAAGGCATATGTATCACATAATAAGAGTACCTGGTACACTATCAACTATGACACACCATCAAATGTCCACCCCAGTATGGCATATCACAATCAGCTGTAACAGCAACTGCCATCACAGAACACCTTCTATGCTTCTCTGCTTCTCTCCTTCACACCCCTTCTCTGCTTCTCTCCTTCACACCCCTTCTCTGCTTCTCTCCTTCACACCCCTTCTCTGCTTCTCTCCTTCACACCCCTTCTCTGCTTCTCTCCTTCACACCCCTTCTCTGCTTCTCTCCTTCACACCCCTTCTCTGCTTCTCTCCTTCACACCCCTTTGCTTCTCTCCTTCACACCCCTTCTCTGCTTCTCTCCTTCACACCCCTTCTCTGCTTCTCTCCTTCACACCCCTTCTCTGCTTCTCTCCTTCACACCCCTTCTCTGCTTCTCTCCTTCACACCCCTTCTCTGCTTCTCTCCTTCACACCCCTTCTCTGCTTCTCTCCTTCACACCCCTTCTCTGCTTCTCTCCTTCACACCCCTTCTCTGCTTCTCTCCTTCACACCCCTTCTCTGCTTCTCTCCTTGACACCCCTTCTCTGCTTCTCTCCTTGACACCCCTTCTCTGCTTCTCTCCTTCACACCCCTTCTCTGCTTCTCTCCTTCACACCCCTTCTCTGCTTCTCTCCTTCACACCCCTTCTCTGCTTCTCTCCTTCACACCCCTTCTCTGCTTCTCTCCTTCACACCCCTTCTCTGCTTCTCTCCTTCACACCCCTTCTCTGCTTCTCTCCTTCACACCCCTTCTCTGCTTCTCTCCTTCACACCCCTTCTCTGCTTCTCTCCTTCACACCCCTTCTCTGCTTCTCTCCTTCACACCCCTTCTCTGCTTCTCTCCTTGACACCCCTTCTCTGCTTCTCTCCTTGACACCCCTTCTCTGCTTCTCTCCTTCACACCCCTTCTCTGCTTCTCTCCTTCACACCCCTTCTCTGCTTCTCTCCTTCACACCCCTTCTCTGCTTCTCTCCTTCACACCCCTTCTCTGCTTCTCTCCTTCACACCCCTTCTCTGCTTCTCTCCTTCACACCCCTTCTCTGCTTCTCTCCTTCACACCCCTTCTCTGCTTCTCTCCTTCACACCCCTTCTCTGCTTCTCTCCTTCACACCCCTTCTCTGCTTCTCTCCTTCACACCCCTTCTCTGCTTCTCTCCTTCACACCCCTTCTCTGCTTCTCTCCTTCACACCCCTTCTCTGCTTCTCTCCTTCACACCCCTTCTCTGCTTCTCTCCTTCACACCCCTTCTCTGCTTCTCTCCTTCACACCCCTTCTCTGCTTCTCTCCTTCACACCCCTTCTCTGCTTCTCTCCTTCACACCCCTTCTCTGCTTCTCTCCTTCACACCCCTTCTCTGCTTCTCTCCTTCACACCCCTTCTCTGCTTCTCTCCTTCACACCCCTTCTCTGCTTCTCTCCTTCACACCCCTTCTCTGCTTCTCTCCTTCACACCCCTTCTCTGCTTCTCTCCTTCACACCCCTTCTCTGCTTCTCTCCTTCACACCCCTCCTCTGCTTCACACCCCTCCTCTGCTTCACACCCCTCCTCTGCTTCACACCCCTCCTCTGCTTCACACCCCTTCTCTACTTCACACCCCTTCTCTGCTTCACACACCTTCTCTGCTTCACACCCCTTCTCTGCTTCACACCCCTTCTCTGCTTCACACCCCTTTTTTTTTTGGTGTGGGAGGACAAAAATCCGTCCCGTCAGCTCCCCACTCAGTGGCTTGCTGACGGGCTAAGACCCTCAAAGTAGGGTACTGCCGTGCTCGGCTAAAAACCTCCATAGAATTTTAATCTCAGCTTCACCCCTCCCCCCTTGGCAAAATCCTTAACAGCACTTAGCAGCTTCCTTAGCAGCTTCCTTGACATCCCTTAGCAGTTTCTTTAACAGCTTCCCTTAGCAGCTTCCTTAACAGCCCATAGCAGCTTCCTTAACAGCCCTTAGCAGCTTCCTTAACAGCCCTTAGCAGCTTCCTTAACAGCCCTTAGCAGCTTCTTTAGCATCCCTTAGCAGCAGCTTCCCCATCCCTTCTCTGCTGCTTCACCCCTTCTCCCCTTAAATTCCTAAGCAGCCCTTAACAGCTTCCTTAGCAGCTTCCCCTCTCTTCCACCCCCTCCTCAGCATCACGGTTTGAAGGAAGTTGACTGTTAGGGCGAGTAACGTAAGATTCAAAAGGCACCAAGAGGGAAAGGACCCTCCACACCCACGCCAGTGTGGAAAAGTCAGTGACATCAAGTTCTCCTCACCCACGCCAGTGAGGAAAAACTAGTGATACCCGAGTCACCCCAAGGGAATTGCTACCTGGAGTGTGTGGTATCTTGCGAGCATGATTCTGCTGCAGTCAGAATCATGCTGGTCAAGACCAGACTCCATCACAAATCCCCCTGAGGCTTCCCGAGCACCGTATGCCACACCCCCTTGGCCTGAGCATGCACACTCAGTTGCCTTTTGTCTCCACGCCACCCACCATCCCAGTGAACCCCTCGCGACCGCTCTGCCAAAGGATTTAGCCGCTTCCCCCCCTCGTCTCCTCCCTTCACAGAATCGCAGCTGATCCAGTGCGGCTGTTTCAGTTAGGCTGATTCAGTGCGGCTGCTGTCTGCTACAACTGCTGCGTCGTCGGTGTTGTCCTGCGACCATTAATCTGCTGCCGTAAAAGGGCTTATCTGCTGCCGTGAAGGTGTTAATCTGCTGCCGTGAAGGGGTTAATCTGCTGCCGTGAAGGGGTTAATCTGCTGCCGTGAAGGGGTTAATCTGCTGCCGTTAAGGCTTGAACTGCTGCCGTGAAGGGGTTAATCTGCTGCCGTTAAGGCTTGAACTGCTGCCGTGAAGGGGTTTAACTGCTGCGTCGTCGGTGTTGTCCTGCTACAACTGCTGCGTCGTCGGTGCTGCCTCTGCTACAACTGCTGCGTCGTCGGTGTTGTCCTGCTACATCTGCTGCGTCATGAGGGGCTGCGTCGTGAAGGGGTTTTCATCCGCTGCCGTTGAAGGGGTTGCCGTTGAAGGGGTGGCACTTGCGCTGCTAGCAGATCCCGTCCGCACTTGCGCTGCTAGCAGATCCCGTCCGCACTTGCGCTGCTAGCAGATCCCGTCCGCACTTGCGCTGCTAGCAGATCCCGTCCGCACTTGCGCTGCTAGCAGATCCCGTCCGCACTTGCGCTGCTAGCAGATCCCGTCCGCACTTGCGCTGCTAGCAGATCCCGTCCGCACTTGCGCTGCTAGCAGATCCCGTCCGCACTTGCGCTGCTAGCAGATCCCGTCCGCACTTGCGCTGCTAGCAGATCCCGTCCGCACTTGCGCTGCTAGCAGATCCCGTCCGCACTTGCGCTGCTAGCAGATCCCGTCCGCACTTGCGCTGCTAGCAGATCCCGTCCGCACTTGCGCTGCTAGCAGATCCCGTCCGCACTTGCGCTGCTAGCAGATCCCGTCCGCACTTGCGCTGCTAGCAGATCCCGTCCGCACTTGCGCTGCTAGCAGATCCCGTCCGCACTTGCGCTGCTAGCAGATCCCGTCCGCACTTGCGCTGCTAGCAGATCCCGTCCGCACTTGCGCTGCTAGCAGATCCCGTCCGCACTTGCGCTGCTAGCAGATCCCGTCCGCACTTGCGCTGCTAGCAGATCCCGTCCGCACTTGCGCTGCTAGCAGATCCCGTCCGCACTTGCGCTGCTAGCAGATCCCGTCCGCACTTGCGCTGCTAGCAGATCCCGTCCGCACTTGCGCTGCTAGCAGATCCCGTCCGCACTTGCGCTGCTAGCAGATCCCGTCCGCACTTGCGCTGCTAGCAGATCCCATCCGCACTTGCGCTTGCAGATCCCATCCGAACTTGCGCTTGCAGATCGTTGAAACTGCTGCTGCCGTGAGGACCAATGAAGCTGCTGCTGCCGTGAAGACCTGCTGCTGCCGTGAAGACCTGCTGCTGCCGTGAAGACCCTTGAAGCTGCTGCTGCCGTGAAGACCTGCTGCTGCCGTGAAGACCTGCTGCTGCCGTGAAGACCTGCTGCTGCCGTGAAGACCTGCTGCTGCCGTGAAGACCATTAAAGCTGCTGCTGCCATGAAGACCTGCTGCTCCCGTGAAGACCTGCTGCTGCCGTGAAGACCAATGAAGCTGCTGCTGCCGTGAAGAACCTTAAAGCTCAAAGGTTGATCCGCGCTCAAAGGTTGATCCTCGCTCAAAGGTTGATCCGCGCTCAAAGGTTGATCCGCGCTCAAAGGTTGATCCGCGCTCAAAGGTTGATCCGCGCTCAAAGGTTGATACGCCGCGCCAAGGGGTTGATCTGCACATTAAACACATAAATGTCATCAGTAAAACGTAAATCGTAAAACGTAAAGCATAAAACTGAACAATTCAACAAGGCATAAAACGAAATCAACAAGACTGAGAGTAAGTAAAGTGTTTGAAGAACCAGTCTTGACTTACTTTTGCAGTGTTGAAAAACATGGTTGCCGTGAAGCTGTTGCTGTGAAGACCCTTGAAACTTCCAGTGCTCGAGGTCAACCCTTGAAGCTTGAAGTGCTGAAAAACAGGGAGAAAAACAAAAGCACGAAGTTAGTAAAGAGCAATAAACAAAAGGAAACGAAATGCAAAAATGAAAACAACAAGGTGGTGGGATGAGTGAGCGTCCATGATACGTATGGGCTGCAGCTAGCAGAGGAAGGAGGACTCTATGCTACCCAACCCGACTCTATGCTACCCAAAACCCGCGGAGGATCATCTGCTAAACTGCAGCCATACGTATCAGAGGGACGGTGAAATGCACGAAATGAATGACGAATGATGGAAAACGAAAGCGAAAACGAAAGCGAAAACAAAAACGAAAACGAAGCGGAATGAAAGGAGGGGAAGAACACTTCCCAGTTAGTTGGTGCTGGAGGCGAAAACGCAGCAGATCGTTGATCATAGGCTTGAAAGCGCTCAGCCCGAAGCGCCCAAGTGCCAAACACGTTTGAAGCTTGCAGCGTTGAAGCTCCCGTCAATTTCCTTGAAGCTCCGCTGTCGCTGGAAAACAGGAAACACACGGACAGAGGCACGAAGTTAGAAAACAGCAATAGAAGATTGGAAAGCAAAGGAAAACGAATGCGAAAACGAAAAAGCGAAAACGAGAGCGAAACCGACGGGAAAAACAAAACGGGATGGTGAGTGGACGTCCATTGTACGTATGGCTGTTGCTGGCAGAGGGAGGAGACCTCTATGCTACCCACCCAGACTCTATGCTACCCAAAACCCGCGGAGGATCGTCTACCAGCCGCAACCATACGTACAAGAGGGACGGTGGAAACGAGGAATAATGAATGATGGCGGAAATGGCAGTGAATAATGTGGATGATGACGAAAGCCAAAACGAAAGCACGAACGGGAAGGGAAGCAACACTTCCCAGTCAGAGTTGGTGACGAGAAGGGCAGCGGCACGTCCCTCACGGCTCGCCAGTCGCGCGCAAGTCTCGAGCCAGCCACAAGTTGGAAGTCAGCTTGTCATGGAGCTTGTAGAGCGGTTCAACGGTTGGAGCTTTGTAGAGCGGTTCAGCGCAGAATCAAAGGTCGCTGCTCGTGAGCTTGGGTACGACCCTGCAAAGATTGAAACAATAATAAGTTAAAATCATTTCAGATCTGAAATTTTCAAAACAAGTTTTGTGCAAAAAGACCAAACAAGAACAAACTCAACCACGACATGCTTACCTCTCGAGATCAAGAGGTGGGCTGGGCGGGGGGCGGGTTGAAGGTTGGTGGTGCGCGAATGATGGTGTTGATCCCGAGAATAAGTGAAGATCAGTGAAGATCCCGAGGGTCATTGGCTTGCTGGACGACGGCTTTGATGAGCGCCGGATGTTTGAGGAAGATGACGGTCTAATCCTGTATGCACAAGGAACAACAAAAGAATTCAGATTATGATTCAACATGGAACAAGAAGTCAACTTGGACATTCAATTATGAATTGCAGTTTAAGTGTTGCAAAAGCATTCGCGTTGCGACGGAGTTACGTACCTCTGGAGATCGTGAGGTGGGTAGGGCGGGGGGCGATGCGAGGATGGGGGCGGGTTGAAGTTTGGTGATGGAGGCGGATGGCGGATGGCCGATCTCCAAGGTTGACCAGCATTTGTTGACGGATTGAAGCTGAAGTGGAGCGTTGTTCGATATTGCTCGCTCCAACTTGCGTTGTGTTGTGGAGCCCTTGCCATTGGTCTTGAGTAGCAGCGATTTGAAGGACCAAGGCGTTGTGACTGCCAAGAAAAAACAAAGTAGGTCAGATCGTGGTCCAAAAGAGACATCCATTAAACATGATGGTGTAAACATCAAGAAAAAATGGCATGACAACGCTTACCTCTGGAGTTTGAGAGGTAGGCCGGGCGGGGGGCGGGGGCGTGGATGGAAGCGGGTTGAGGTTGGGCGTTGGGGCGAATGAAGGTGGAGACTCCAGAGTCGACTAGTTGAAGTAGATCGAATGTTGATGAAATTTGTGGGCTAGAGATGTAAATGCAAATTTCTGTGATATATAGTTTGAGTCAACTAGACGGATGTGGTTCACGAGAGTACGATTGAACTGAGTGAAGGTGAACGTACGCCACGCCGAAGCATTGGGACGAAGTCCAAACGACCAAACGTTCTGGTCGCGGTTCGTGAAGCGTGGGTTGAAACCCTAACCTCTGCTCTACCGCAGGGGTAGCGGCTTTCCTTCGCGGGTAATTTTGGGCCGCTCCAGTTCGCGGTTGATTTTCTCTTGCTGCTCTGTGAGGAGGCCCCCTGAGCCTCCCTGGCTCAAGGGGAGGGTCGAGCAGAAGAGTGCCTCCAACGAGTCCGAACCACTACAGTACAGTAAGTGGCAGGTTGCAGCAGCATTGTGGTGTGGTCCAACACCACCACTTGTTCATAAATGTTTTTTTAGGGTAGGCAGATCGCGTGGGATGTAGGGTATCATCCATTTTTAAAAGACGCTTAATTCAGCACCAGTGTCTCTCAGTTGCCTAATACTGTGCTCGTACTCAACATGCAAATTGTTTTCGTACTTCCAAGTCCAAAGCCAAAAAGATTGTGTTTAGATTTTCCCGAACCTCCTTGGCCACCGAAGCACACAAACCACTCATCCGAAGCGCGCGTTGCCTGACGGATGATGCTCAGGTTTGCGTGCGCTGCGGACGAAAATGCGGGAAAGTGGAGGCGGAGCTGAGCATTCACTTGTTTGTTGACGTCAACCAGCCTCGCCAAGGAACCATCCTCATGGAACCTTTAGCAAATTGTGCGAAGCTGCCTTGGACTAAAGCTGACGACACTGTGCGACCCGAATGAAAAATCGTCGCTCAGTTCCCGCGCGCCAAAATTCATCCAGCAGTGACACGCTGGCAGGAGCAAGGAGTGGATGGATATTTGCCACATCAGCACATTGCCGCAAGAGTCCCGCTGACCCAAAATTTGGCCCGGAATCATCCAATAGTGTCACGCTTCCAGGAACAACGTGCTATGCTGTACAGCACCAGATGCGAATCTCTCCAGTCTAGTCCCCGGGGCGACATCCGAACTGAACAAAGTTGTTGCTATAGTTCACACAGCAAGGTGTAAAACGTTTTCAGACGGTGAACTAGATTGCAGCTCAAAATTGCACAATACCGTGCTGGAAACCGGAATACCGTGTTGCAGCACAGTATGGCTCGGAGCAGAACAAGTAGTCACGGCATGTGAATCAGGAAAATGTAAGGGAGATAGTGACCAATGACTGGTGATTTCACTGACAGCGAACAATCGCACAATATGACTATGGAAATAGTGTCAACAATATCCAACCGGAGTTAGTCCACGAGTCAACGAGCGAATCCTGAATCACTATTCACCACCACTCAGGTGCTTGCCGAATTGCTCGACGGTGGTTATGCCTCTCCCGCATCAGCACTCATGCTTCTCGTCCTCCCGCGAAATTCACGGGCAGCGTAGGGGTATCTCGTAATTATACTCTCAAAAGGACGTACCCGTCGCATTTAGCCATGGCGGCAGCTGCGGTGCTGCCAGCACCCACGCACTTCAAAGCAGCTCGAGCCGTGGTGGCGGTAATGGAGGCATACCGCGACGCGCGCGTGCAGTTCGTCATGAAAGTCGGCGAACTCGCCGTTTCGCCTCAGGTGCGCCTTAGCCTCAGTCTCTTTCGCTGTCTGGTCTCAGTGTCTCTCAGCATTCAAGCTTCGATCTGCGAATTCATGGCGAATTCATGGCGAATTCAAGGCGAATTCATGGCGAATACATGGCGCTGCTGGGTGAGGTTCCTTCGTTGCGATTCGCGAGCTCGCCGGCTCTATTGACTCCCAATGCGTTCCTCCCGCGTTTCTTCCCCCGCAGAACGCGGAGGCGCTGCTGTCGCTCGGCGCGCTGCAGCTGCTGCTGCCGCTCGCGCAGGACAGCATGGCGTCCGTGCGATCCGCTGCGACGCTGTCGCTGGGTCGCCTGGCGAATGTGTCGCACACGTGGTCGCACCACCTCGTGCAGCGCAACGTGCTGCCGTCGCTCTGCAAGGCGCTCACGTCAGTCCTGCCTTTAAGTGCTTGAGTCAATTCTTACGACGCCTTATCTGCTTTTATATCCGCGACTCCCCAGCTTTTTCTCTTTTTTTAGCTCTGCAGTGCAGTGCGCTTTGTATGCAACGCACATCAGTCCCACCGCTGTCTTCGTTCCCTCTTCTTACCCTCACATCTTTTTCTCCATCCACCCCCTCGTCGTCCCTCTTTTCACCCTCCAATCCCTCGTCATCCCCTCTCGTCTCCCTCTACCCACCAGCGGCACCAATCGCCACCACAAGCGCGCAGCAGCATATCTAGTCAAGGCTGTGTCACGCCACGCTGGCGCTGAGCTGGCAGAGGCGGGCGTGCTGCCGCTGCTGACGGAGTGCCTTCTGGATGTCATGCTGGCGGTGCGCGAGACTGCTGCGTGCGCATTAGGCCACGTGGCAAAGCACAGCGGTGACATGGCGATGAGAGTGGTTGAGACGGGTGCAGTGCGGTTGCTGGTGACATGCCTTTAGGTGGGATTCGCAAATTGCAGCTGGCAGAGGTAGCCTCTTGCCTACCTTCTTCTCTAACCCTTGGCAACCTGGCTGGGTGTAACCCATGTTCACATGCATCAATGCGTCACCTGGCTGGGTGTAACCCATGTTCACATGCATCAATGCGTCACCTGGCTGGGTGTAACCCATGTTCACATGCATCAATGCGTCACCTGGCTGGGTGTAACCCATGTTCACATGCATCCCACTCCGCCCTTCCCCCTTCCCCCTCGCTCCTCTTCCCATCCCCCCTTTCTTTTTTCCCGTTTCCCCTCTCCCTTCTCTTTCTTCCCCGATTCTCAGCAAGTGTTGGACCAACCCGGAGCGTCCCGTGTGCTGCTCTGCCTGCACGACTCATCGCCCTCCCTGCGCGCATCAGCAGCAGCGGCCGTGAGGGAGGTGGCGAGGCAGGGACCGGCAGCAGCAGGCAGGCTGGTGGGCATGGGGGGCATGGGGCCTTTGCTCGATGCTGTGGGCACATGGAGGGACGAGGGCGAGGGGGAGGGCATTACAAAAGGTTCTGCCAAGGTTTCAGGTCAGTGACTTCAGTTTTCTGTGCAACCTCTTTGTGGTCTCTTGTCCCTATCTTCTCAATTTTCTTGTCCCCATTCCCTGCTGCGATGTGGAGACGGTCATGCTAGTTGCGTTTGAACCTTCCATGCACTGCCTCACTCAGTCGCTCACTTGCACACTCAATCCTTCAGCCACACATTCCTGCTCACACACTCCCACCCACCCACCCACCCACCCACGCACACACACACACACACACACGCACACACACACACACACACACACACACACGCACACACACACACACACACACACACACACACACATACCTCCTACTGCTTTCCAACTTTCATTGTCTGATTTCCATCCCCTCTCCCCTGTTATCTCTCTCCACCCGCACACATTCTCTCCACCCCCACACATTCTCTCCACCCCCACACATTCTCACCACCCCCACACATTCTATTCCCAGTGGTGGTGGCCCTCGGCTTCCTGGCAGCTTCCTCACCAGACGCAGCGCTGGCAGTGGTGGCATCGGACGGCATATCCCCGCTGCAGGATCTGATAGTGGAGGGTGATGCTGACGCCACTCTTGAAGGGGCCTGCGCGTGGGCGCTCTCACAAATGGCTTCCCATGGGTGAGGAAGGTTAAGGGTGTGTGTAGATGGGTGAGGATGGGTGGTGATGGGTGAGAATGGGGTGAGAATGGGGTGAGAATGGGTGAGGATGGAGTGGGGATTGGTGCTGATGGGTGAGAATGGGTAGGGGCGTGTTGCCATGGCATGCGGCACTGGCAGCAGTGGTGGCATCGGACGGCATATACCCGCTGCAGGATCTGATTGTGGAGGGCGATGCTGACGTCACTCTCAAAGGGGTGTGTGCGTGGGCGCTCTCGCAAATGGCTTCCCATGGGTGAGGAAGGCCGGGTGGGTATGGGTGAGAATGGGTGAGGATGGATGGAATGGGGATCGGTGCCAATGGGCAAGGGTGGGTGAGGATGGATGGAATGGGGATCGGTGCCAATGGGCAAGGGTGGGTGAGGATGGGTGAGAATGTTTGGGAACGGATGGGGGTGATGGGTCGGGGTTGGTCGGGCTTCTGACATGATATAAGCACTTGATATTGGTTGGTCTGTTGATGCAATCCTTTTCCTACCCATGATATCTTCTCTTGCACCGCCTACCCTTGTGCTATGTTTTGCTGCCACATGCCAGTCCCAGCCATGCCAAGGCAGTGGCAGACAGTGGGGTGTTGATCGACATGGTAACAGCAGCCACACTCTCACAACTTGCTCTCTTCCCTTCTCTTGCACTATCTACCCTTCCGTTCTGTTCCTTCCTTTGGCACGTGCCAGTCCCAGCCATGGCAAGGCTGTGGCAGACAGTGGATTGTGATCGATTTAGTGACAGCAGCCACAAGTTGATCCCCTTCTGACCTCTTCCTTTCTCTTGCACCGCCTACCCTTACGTTCTGTTCATTTGACCTGTGCCAGTCCGAGCCACGCCAAGGCCGTGGCCGACAGTGGGGTGCTGATCGACATGGTAACAGCAGCCACACTCTCACGACATGCTCGCTTCCCTTCTCTTGCACTCTCCTTCTGCTCTCTTCCTGTTCTGCCACATGCCAGTCCCAGCCATGCCAAGGCAGTTGCAGACAGTGGAGTGTTGATCGACATGGTAACAGCACCCACTGTTCACCTCCCTGCTCCTGATCCTGCTGCCGGGCCTGCCGCTGCTGATACAGTGGATGGTGCGGCTGTTGCATCCGCGGCTTCTGAAGGAAGAGGCTCGGCAGCGGAGGCTCGGGAGCGCTTGGTGCGGGCAGTGAAGGACGTGGTGGTTCGGTTGAACGACATCGAAGCTCTTGATGCACTGCTGCAGGTATATTGCTTGCACCCCGCATCCACACTTCACCTAATGCCTTCTCCTCATCCGCATCAAAAATCACTCTCACTCGTCACCCTCACACACTTACACTTCTCCCAACCCTCCTCCCCGCATTCTCTACCCTGTGCCCTTCCTCCTCTCCCACTCCCCCCGTCTTTCCCCCCTACCCCCTCCCATTCCCCCCTTTCATTCACTCCCTTCCCCCATACAGCGGACAAAGCTGCCAGATGGCATATTGGAGTCTGTCCTGCATCGCATGTCCTCTGCATGGGAGATTCTTGCCATGCAGCTGACTGAACAAGGATAGCCTTCTTGATACTAGGAACTGAGCATCTGGTATGCGGCTGACGCACAGAATAGAAGTGACACCCCCCCCCCTCCATTGCATTGCAAGGCATGGCAATGTGCCATGCCATCATGTCAGCTTGCCCTTCAAACTGTACCTCAGTCATGCTCCCTGTACAGGCTGCCTCGTTTACAGCTCAATCCCTACCCAGTTGCTGATCTTCCTGTGGTCCACTAGTAGTCTGTTTTTGTTATCGCGGTACACCATATCTTTGAAATCTGCATTCCATATAACGTCCTCGTCTGCCACAAAGTAGTCCTCCACGTGGAACACTGGCTGCATGGACGCACGCTCCATGCCAATCTGCACACGAGGAGGCAAGGGAGTGCGACAGACATAAGACAAGTGGGTGCATCGAAGGTAGCTGAATGAGGGGGTCAGGGTTTCGGGTTTAACTTAAATGAAGGGGAAATGGATGGTACAAGGCATGATGAGCAAACGAAAGAGAGCAAAACTAGATCTTTCAACAAGAGGAGGCCCTTAGGAGCACCAAATACCTCACTACAGATTCCATTGACCTGCATTGACTCTGCTTGACTCACGACAGCGAGGCTGAGTTGTGCGTTGACGAGGCAGAGGTCATCCCGAGACCGGTTGTACAGCGGGCTGGACTCGTCAATCAGGTGCCGCACCGTCATGCCATAGCGCTGGTAGGAGTCCTCTGAGCGCACCTGTGAGTGGGTGTAAGGGAAGCCACAGACGGTAGTGGGCGGTACAGTGGGCTGGACTCGTCAATCACATGCTGCACCGTCATGCTGTACCGCTGGTATGAGTCCTCTGACTGCACCTGTGGGTGGGTGGAAGGGAAGGCAAGGGAAGGAAAGGGTAGAAGGCGGCAGAGGAGGAATCATCAGGCAGGAGTGTAGTGTAGAGCACCATGCCCTCACAGCGGACCTGCATGTGGACAGGGTAGCAGCTGGAAGCAGCAACATGATCAAGATTCTTAGTTCAAGAAGCAGCAGCATGCATACCAGTTTGAGGTGATCGACTTGCCGGAAGAACCGTCCAGTGCAGGAGAGAGTGTTGTGCTTGAGCGTGAGCTCCACCTTCACATCCACCAGCTCGCACCTTCCAACACATACTCAGTACCACCATACCAGCACCACCACCAGCAGTACCACTCATACCAGTTTAAGGTGGTCGACTTGGCGAAAGAACCGGCCAGTACAAGAGAGAGTGTTGTGCTTGAGCGTGAGCTCCACCTTCACATCCACCAGCTCACACCATCAGTCAACCTTCATACACCAGCAGCGCCAACAGTCAAGAAGCAGCATCATGCATACCAGTTTGAGATGGTCGACTTGTCGGAAGAAGCGGCCAGTACAAGAGAGCGTGTTGTGCTTGAGAGTGAGCTCCACCTTCACATCCACCAGCTCACACGGCTGTGGCCCCGCCAGCACATACCGCACCAGCAGCATCCGCTCACACCCCCTCCCCGCCCCCATCCCACCACCCGTGCCAAACCCGCCCCCTTCCGCCCCACCTCTCCACCCCACCCCTGCAACGCCCCCCCCACCTCCTCCACCTTCTTCCCCCCCACCCCCTCCTCCTGCTGCAGCAGCAGCGCCTGGGAAGACCCTTGAGGCGGCGAAGGCTGCGCTGCCTCCGAAGTTGGCGCTGCTGATGCTGCGAGACAGCGAGCGGGCAGCGGGAGGGTAGCGAGCCGGCACGGAACCACCAGATCCCACAGTTGCACTTCCCGGCAGGTTCACACCCTGCTGCTGCTGCTGTGGCTGTTGCTGCAGGGGAGGGGTGATGCATGCGACTTTGGAGCAGAGACTTGGATCCACCGGCTGTGTGAGCCTCGCAAACACGGCTCCACTTAGAAACACAAACAGCAGCTGAGCCACCAGCGCATTCACATTCGCAACCACCAGCGCGTATGGCGACGCCGGGGCCAACGCGGGTTCAAGGCCTGTGGAGAGCGAGAGCGAGAACATGAGCACTTGGAAAATCCCCCACGCGCATCCCCCTGGGATGATCCCGGCGGGTCCCAGGCGGAAGACATTTGATTCCTCAAGAGCACGGACGGCGTCGCCGAGGGTTTGAGAGCCTTCGACGACGTTGAATAGGCCGCCTGATGCTGCTTCCTTTGCTGCTGCTGCCGCCGCTGCTGCTGTGGCGGGGGCTCTGAAGGCTCCTGTGCTTGCCAGACCTGTAACAACCGCTCCTCCTCCTCCCCCTCCTCCTCCAACACAAGCCATGCCCAAGATTGCCCGCTCATACGCTGCACCGCCCGCTCATACGCTGCACCGCCCGCTCATACGCTGCACCGCCCGCTCATACGCTGCACCGCCCGCTCATACGCTGCACCGCACGCTCATACGCTGCACCGCCCGCTCATACGCTGCACCGCACGCTCATACGCTGCACCGCCCGCTCATACGCTGAACCGCCCGCTCATACGCTGCACCGCCCGCTCATACGCTGCACCGCCCGCTCATACGCTGCACCGCCCGCTCATACGCTGCACCGCACGCTCATACGCTGCACCGCCCGCTCATACGCTGCACCGCCCGCTCATACGCTGCACCGCCCGCTCATACGCTGCACCGCCCGCTCACACGCTGCACCGCCCGCTCACACGCTGCACCGCCCGCTCACACGCTGCACCGCCCGCTCATACGCTGCACCGCCCGCTCATACGCTGCACCGCCCGCTCATACGCTGCACCGCCCGCTCATACGCTGCACCGCCCGCTCATACGCTGCACTGCCAGCTCACACGCTGCACCGCCCGCTCAGACGCTGCACCGCCCGCTCATACGCTGCACCGCCCGCTCATACGCTGCACCGCCCGCTCATACGCTGCACCGCCCGCTCATACGCTGCACCGCCCACTCATACGCTGCACCGCCCGCTCATACGCTGCACCGCCCGCTCATACGCTGCACCGCACGCTCATACGCTGCACCGCCCGCTCATACGCTGCACCGCCCGCTCATACGCTGCACCGCCCGCTCATACGCTGCACCGCCCGCTCATACGCTGCACCGCCCGCTCATACGCTGCACCGCACGCTCATACGCTGCACCGCCCGCTCATACGCTGCACCGCCCGCTCATACGCTGCACCGCCCGCTCATACGCTGCACCGCCCGCTCATACGCTGCACCGCCCGCTCATACGCTGCACCGCCCGCTCATACGCTGCACCACCCGCTCATACGCTGCACCGCCCGCTCATACGCTGCACCGCCCGCTCATACGCTGCACCGCCCGCTCATACGCTGTCAACATATATTTTCTATGTGTTGTTTAGGTTAGTCTAGGTGTTACGTTTCTACTTACTTGCATGATTAGGGTTTGCTATATCTAGGGTTGTACTTCACATTTTCTATCAATTCATTCTAGGTTTCCCTTAGGCGATTTTTCCCCTAGGCGATTTTTTCCCTTAGGCGAAATTTCTCTCGATAGTCTATGGGCCCACCACCCGCGCGCCTCGTAGCGACCCATAGCCCGAAGCGCCCTGCCCCGTAGAGCCCGAGTAGGTCGCGCCCCCCCGTCGACATCGCGCGTCACCCGTTTCTGCCCTGCGCCCCACCCGTTTTTGCCGTGCGTCACTCGTTTTCTGCCCCGCGCCCCACTCGTTTTACCCCGCGCGTTTCCCCCCAGCCCTCTAGCGCGCAGCAGACGAACGCGCGTAGCTGCGCGCGCAGCCTTAGTCGCACCCGCAGCTTCGCGCTAGTACGTCGCGGCCGCGCGCACGTGCAGCCCACCGTCTTAACCGCCCCCCAGACCTGAAAACCCGCCATTACAGACCTGAAAACCGCCGCCGAACTTGGAAACCCGCCGCCCCAGACCTGAAAACCGCCGCCCCAGACCTGACAACCGCCGCCCCACCTGGAAACCTGCTGCCCCACCCGTTCCAGGCACCTCACCCGGGATCAGCCGCCCCACCCAGTCCTCTCCACCGCATTGAACCGCACAGAACTGCACATAACTGCACAGAACCGCACAGAACCGCCGCCTTAACAGCTTCCCCACCTGAAAACCACCGCCCCAGACCTGACAACCGCCGCCCCACCTGGAAACCTGCTGCCCCACCCGTTCCAGGCACCTCACCCGGAATCAGCTGCCCCACCCAGTCCTCTCCACCGCATTGAACCGCACAGAACTGCACATAACTGCACAGAACCGCACAGAACCGCCGCCTTAACAGCTTCCCCACCTGAAAACCACCGCCCCAGACCTGACAACCGCCGCCCCACCTGGAAACCTGCTGCCCCACCCGTTCCAGGCACCTCACCCGGAATCAGCTGCCCCACCCAGTCCTCTCCACTGCATTGAACCTCACAGAACCGCACAGTACTGCACATAACCGCACAGAACTGCACAGAACCGCCGCCTCACCCGTAGCCCGCTGCCTTAACAGCTTCCCCACCTGAAACCTGCCTCCCCACGACCTACCACACCCGCCGTCAGTAGCCCCAGCCGATTACACTGCCGCCAGCTACACCAGCAGCAGCATAGGCTGCCCCCAGCGCACCAGCAGCAACGTAGGCTGCCCCCAGCAGAACCAGCAGAACCAGCAGAACCAGCAGAACCAGCAGAACCAGCAGAACCAGCAGAACCAGCAGAACCAGCAGAACCAGCAGCAGCATAGGCTGCCCCCAGCGAACCAGCAGCAGCATAGGCTGCCCCCAGCGCACCAGCAGCAGCTTAGGCTACCGCCAGCGCACCAGCAGCAGCTTAGGCAACTGCCTGCGCACTAGCAGCAGCATTGGCTGCCCCCTGGAGAACCAGTAGCAGCCTAGGCTGCCTCTCAGCAGAACCAGAAGCAGCACAGGCTGCCCCCAGCGCACCAGCAGCAGCTTAGGCTGCCCTCAGCAGAACCAGTAGCAGCATAGGCTCACATGGCATGTACTAGGGTTCTACAGCAGCAGGGCCAGCCGCAGCACTCCCGTCAGTTGGGGCCTGCGGGTCCAAAGTGTGGCGCCCCCAGCAGTGGCTCAGCTAGCAGTGGGCGAGACGTCGGCCCCTGCGGGTACCGGGCCCTGACAGGCCCTGGTGCTGGCACTACCTGCTGGAGTCCTGACCACACTGCGTCCAGCTGCTACCGTCGACTCGACGACCTCCACCGTGAGCGTTTTGGTCCTCACGCTATTACACCGCACTGGCCTTCGCGCCTTCGCCAGCGCACTACTGCACCAGTTGAGTCTCACCTGCCTGGTCTAGGACCCTTTCCGGCTGCACGAGTAGAGACCTGTGTTTCCAGTCTTGGTGCGTGTGTTGTTTCCAGTCCCGGCGCCTCTGAGGGTCTTTGTGTAGAAGCTGCAGCTACCACTAGTCTAGCACTAGCCTTTGTAGCTGGTTCGGGTGCGACCCCACAGACTGCACAGCTTTCCTTCACCCTAGATTCTGGAGCGTCCAGCTGTTTCTTTCGCGACTGTACCGACCTCACACCACTGCGCACTCCAGTCACTGTCGCCTTGGCTGACCCCTCTGTGGGACGTGTAGTTGCTAGCAGCACCACCACTCTTCCGTGTCCGGCGGCTCCCTCAGGTTTTCTTACAGGTTACTACACCCTCTCGTTCTCTAGGAACTTGGTGGGTGTCAGTCACCTTCACGACCTAGGCGTAGTCACTACTTTCCCACTGGACGAGCCTGTTGCCTCCTGCACTGTCGGTGCCACTGGGGCGCCCCAGGCCACATTCCACAGAGAGCCGGGATCTGGTCTGTACTCACTACACACTGGGTCCCACCACACTGAGTCGGGTCAGGTCAGGTCAGGTCAGGTAGCTGCTGTGTCGTGTGACTGTCGGTCCCTCACCCACCCGTCGGTCCTCTGGCACCATCGTCTAGGTCACCCGTCGTTCCCGCGTCTCAGTAGGATGGCACGTTACCGTCTGGTCTCAGGTCTCCCAGGGTCGCTTGCACCGCTTCCCCGCTCGCCTGCGCCGCTGTGCACTCCTTGCGTCGAGGGTCGGCAGCGCGCTGCCCCTCACTCCTCCTCGTTCCCCCCCACCACGGCTCCCTTCGAGACCCTGCACTTGGACGTCTGGGGCCCCTCTCCGGTCCTTGGCCCACGTCAGGAGCGCTACTTCCTGATAGTGGTGGACGACTACTCCCGCTACACCACGGTTTTCCCCTTGCGACGGAAGGCCGACGTGCCTACCGTCCTCGAGCCGTGGCTACTAGCGTGGGGTGGCGCCCAGGGCCTGTGTGGGCTTCGCCTACACTCGGACCGTGGTGGTGAGTTTTCTTCCACTCGCCTGGAGACGTTCTGTCAGGGTCGGGGGATCATCCAGTCTTACACGCTACCAGCATCACCGCAGCAGAACGGGGTAGCCGAGCGACGCATCGGCCTGGTCATGGAGGTTGCCCGGACCTCCATGTGCCATGCCGGTGCCCCCCAGTTCTTGTGGCCCCAGGCAGTCCGCTACGCCGCGCACCAGCTGAACCTGTGGCCCAGTGACGCACGGCCAAGGGTGACGCCGGTCTCCCTTTGGACAGGTTCTCCGGGCGTAGCAGCTGACTTCCGCGTCTGGGGTTGTCTGGCTCACGTTCGCGCCCCTGGCGCGAACAAGTTGTCTCCGCGCACTCGTGCCTGCGTCTTTCTTGGCTTCCCTTTGGACGCCTCCGGCTGGGTGTTCTACGACCCGGTCACCTACCAGTTCTTCGCTTCGCAGGACGTCACGTTCGACGAGTCTGTCTGTTACTACAGGAGTCGCCCCCACCGAGGTACTCAGGCCTTTTCCCCCCCGCTGTTCCTCACCCTTGAGCCCCCACCAGTCGCCCCGGTAGCCCCCCCCCTTCGCGTCCTGCCCCGTCAGGTGTGTCGCACGTCACTCCGCAGTCTTCCCCCCCGCAGCGTCCAGTCCCTGTCGTGTCTGGGGGTGCGGGAGGTGCAGTTGCGGAGGGTGAGGGTACTGGGGCTGCAGGAGCTGGTGGTGTCGGCTCTGGGGGTGCAGGGGTTGTGGGCGTGGAGGTCACTCCTGTGGAGGACACGGCAGCCTCGACTCGGCGGCCTCGCCCTGCCTCACCCCCTGGCTTCCCGTCCGTCCCGCAGTTTCCTCCTCCTTCTTCTCTGCGGTCGGTTGTTGCGGAGCCTGGGGGTGTTCCTGCGGGAGGTACTGGAGGCCCCGGGGGTGTCGGTGGTGGAGGTGCTGGTTCTGGGGGTGCTGGAGCTGGAGGCACTGGCACTGTGGCGCCTACACCGCGCACTGTACGTTTCCTGACCCGTGAGCAGCGTCTCCTCCGGTTG